TACAAAAGAAAACAGTGTTTATTTTTTATATTTCTAGCTGGAAAAAAAGGAAGAAAGAAAAGAAGCATATGAGGAACCATCACGAAAACACAGGAAAAACAGGAAAAAGCGACTTTGTTTTGAACACCGCTCGTAAACGATAATAGGTAGAAAGCTGATTTTAACAGCACAGATAGAGCATGATCAATAGATACTTCAGTATAAATTTCGATCAATTTGACCAAACAGGAACTGAGAAATAAAGAGGAACCGTTTTGAACGACAAACGGTACAATAGACACTAGAATCACTCATATATACATATATCACTGCTATTGTGAGTGTATATTGTATTGGTTATATTTCTTTGTTTTGAATTAGTACAATTGGAAAAAGTTGTTGATACATATTGAAAGGATAAACGTGAAATATTAAATTCTGATTCAAATTATTAAATAGCCATTTTATGGCTGCATTAAACGTTTATCATGACTCGCCGTGACCAGGTTCTGGTCACGTTCACAATTGTTTTTCAAAAATTGGTCACGGCAGTCACGCCGATGTCTAGTTCAGAGACTAAGAGTGAAATTTAAGAAAAACCTCACTGAGGTGAACTACACCGATTTTTCTATAATTTTTTCTTTTGACAACTATATAGATTGATAGAGCGTGAGACGGCACAGCTTTTAATCATTAGGGTTGCTAGTTGCAATTAAAAATTTGTCTATATGATATGAGAACCGTATCAATTCTACCTTTGTAACCTTGCATAAGGTAATTGGTAAACATGATCATTATGTCCTTTAGCAGAGCATGAAAAACTATATCGATCTACAAGTATTAGTTTTCATATTGAGTGTACAAAAGAAAAAAAATATGATTACCATACTTAATAAAATATTCATGATAATAATAATAATAATAAATACAGAGAAATATATAGAATTTCATGCTCTATCTTTCTCACCTATTGAAAGTGAAACTTAAGAATATGACAAACTTATACTTTAATTCAGCAGTATCTTTTCTATACTTTTAAATTTTATATTCTTAGGAAGATGATAAGTTTTAAATTTCACCTTATAAAATAAAAATGCTTATACTTGCTACAGATTTTTATCGGAATATATTGTAAGAAGTCAAAAACTTCCTATAGAATTTTTCTCGATCTATAGTACAATTTCTATTTATTTTTGTGCATAAATGACTGAATTATGACTTTCACGTTGCTGACAAAACAATTATTTTAATACATATTTAATCGGTGTTGATAATTAATTTTATGTCTGCTAATGAAACAGATTGATATGCAACATAGACATACTATATCTCAGATAGAATTGATTATGAATTTCTCATATATTGATTTTCTCTAAATGAAATAATCTAAATATTAAATTGAATAGTTAACAATTTTTCTTCAATAAGAATATTTACTCAAGATTCTCTGTTACCTACTCAAGACGATGCATGTTTGACGATGAAACACGTGCGCATATATATATATTCATATATACACGGTGCACAAGAAAAAGCGAAAAGTTCAAAAGAAAAAGAGAAAAGAAAAAGCGAAAGAAGCATTATTTTACAAGTGAATTTCTTTTTATAAGCAAACAAAGCATAAGAAACAAGTATGCATATTTACATTGAAACAATTTATTGATCGTTGATTTATTTGAATACAATATAGAAAAATAATTTTTTTAAATTTCTGTTTTTACATATATATTAATTAAATAATACAAAACAAAAAGAAATGTTGAATAATGATAATAAAGAAGTAACAACTATTATTAATTTTGATAATGATTGGCGTTATATTCGTTTATCAAATACATCTTCATATGATAATGAATTTATTTTATTTTCATATAATGACCAAGATTGGACAAATATTCAATTACCACATTATGATAATAGTAAATCACAAAAATTTACTTCAATATGTGTTTCATATTGGTATAGAAAACGATTTAGTTTAAAAGAAATATTTGATAAAGATCAATATGTTTATTTACATTTCGAATTCATGTCTAAAAATAATAAACAAGATAATAATGAATTAGATATAAAGATACCTGCTATTACAATATGGTTAAATGAAAATAAAATTTTTTCTGATACATTATCACAGCCAATTAGCCTAACGAAATATTTAAAACATGATCAAGAAAATGTACTTGTTATTTATTCTAAACATGGATATCGACTTTGTTTACATGCTCGTTTACTTTTACAACGTCATTTATCTGGTCAAGTTGATCTGGATGAACCTGAGGAAAATATAACAAAAAAAGAGCAAAGAAAAACACTTCATTATATGGCAAGTTTTGATGATTCCGATGGACTTATTGCTGTTTTTATTAATTCATTAACGAAATACGTTGACGACAATAATATTGATATTGAAGATCATAAACATCCAAATTCTCATGATACAAATAAAAAATTAAATAACATTGAAGATGTGGAAATGGCACCTATATTAAATGATCCAATACCTCGTCTTGCTATTTTAATGCTTATTGTTGGTACACGTGGTGATGTTCAACCATTTATTGCTCTTGCTAAAGCACTTCTTGCATATGGTCATCGAGTTCGTCTTGCAACACAT